ATCTGTCTACGACCCTCTTGAAGTGCAGGGCCCGGACCTGGACACCGGACTCCAGGGGCAGCCTCCCCAGTGCTGACTAGAGGGGAGAATCCCTGCCCCAGACTTGTTCCTACGACCAAGGAGGCTGTTGGCTTTTATTGCCACCAGAGTGCACTGTCGGCTCATTCCACGGCCCTCACAAGCTCCCTTCCAGTCCTGAGCTCCTAGGACCTCATTTTAGCTCCTAGGCCTGTCTCCCCACTGCCAGACCCTTCTGTGCAGGCAACCATCCTGTCCCAGGACAGAGGGAACCCTGGATCCTGGTCTGCCCAAGCAAATTCATTTTGCTGTGATTTCCCCCTTGCCCTCCTGTCAGGGGCAGCGTTGGGGCAGGGCCGGGCGCTGCAGGGACCCAACACAGGGATGACCTGTCTATTTGCATCTTTCAGGTATCGTGGGCTCTAAGGCCCACCTGGCTAACTAATAGCCCCTACTGTGCGGCCAGTGGGTGAGAGACAACAGAGTTCTTGGGACAAAAAATGCCAAAACAGGCCAAAACAGGATAGAAGTGTCATGTGGGTCAAAGGGTTAAAACGTGAAAATAAATGTGCCTGAGGGGGACACCGAGCAGAGCCCCCCGGGCCGCACCTAGCCCCGGGTTCTCAAAGGCATCCAGGGAGCCAGTGGTTGCTGCCCACTGGTGCTCCGCCCAGAGACGTGCACGGACAAGTGAGAGGAAACACAGGGATGACCTGTGGCCTAGTTGGGCCTAACCAGGGGGTGAACAGCTGGTCTTCACTGCATTCTCCTGGTCTGGGCTTGGACGTGAGATCCAATGGAGCCACCTCTGCTTTGTTTCCAGCTTCATGGGGGCAGGCAGGGTTGGTCGCTCCCCAGCTGAAATGCAGCCACTTCTGGGGTGGGGCATGACTGCCAGTTCACAGTTCATGGCAGCAGAAGCTGAGGACCGGCCAGTGTTAGGGGGAGCTGCTGGGACACTTGGTGGGTATTGGATGAGGACCTATAGCCTTACTCCCCCCCGCCCAATGGGGGCAGGGGGCAAGCCCCTGCTGCCTGGCCACATCTCAGGGCCGAGACCTCAATCCCATCCAGGTCCTGCTTGTCTCAGGGCTGGAGCCTGTGGCAGGACTGAGCACTTCCCTTAACCATATCTACTCATCCATCCTGTCCCAGCCATGAGAAGGAGCTTCGAGCACTTAGGATCAATGGAGATTGGGGCTGGGGCAGGGGGGATATTCCCAGACCCCCCCCCCCCCGCCCCCCCCCCGACATCCAAATCTACCCCAGGTCATCCTCAGAAGGTTCACCCTGGATGCCCAGACACCTGGGTTCGATCCCTGCTCTGGGAGAGGAGTTGAGGCTGGAACTTAAAGAGGAAGCTGAGAGCCTGGCTGCCTGGGTTCCCTCCAGCTCTAGAAGTGGGGTTCAGGCTGAAGGGTTAGAGCAGGGGTCAGCAACCCCCGGCATGTGTGCCGAGCATGGCATGCAAGGCCATTTTGCTCGGCACACCACTGCCAGTCCAGGCTCTAAGCAGCTGCTGCCAGCCCCAGAGCCCAAGCTGCTCCCAGCAGGATTCAGGGAGGCTGCAAGCCCTGCTGCAAGCAGACCAGACTCCAAGGGCTGGCTGCAGCCGGGAGGCTGCAAACAGCTGCTCCAGGCTCCGGCATGTCAGCACTCTGGCACCTTCCAAGGTAGACATTGTGTTTTTTTCAGCACTCCAGCCAAAAAAACATTGCCTACCCTTGGGTTAGAGCAAGGAGGACTGGGACCCGGACCCCTGGGTTCTCTCAGTCTCTAGCATGCCACATTCATCTCCCACTTCACACTTCTCTCTTCCATGTCCAGTGCTGTGTCTCTGGATGGCAGCTGCATGGAGGCCAAGACTGGACCCAGATGTCCAGTTAAGGAAGGAGACCCGACCCCCCCCCCCGCCCCAGCTAGAAACACGCCAGCCCCTAGGGAGGGAGTGGATTGGCCATAGCTGGTGGGGGAACTGGGTTGCATTGGGAAGCAGGTGGGAGTGCAAGGAGGGGCTGGAGATGCCTTTGCATAGAGCACGACCAGCAGCTGGGGGGCTGGGGCTGGGACAGCTGAGCCTGGCATGATGCCTGGGTGGGGGCTGCACTCCCCCCCACCCTGCTGCAATCACAGGACCCCCTGGCCCCAGAGAAGCATCAGGCCAACACCAGCAGGGGCCACTGGGTTGGAGGCCCAGCCCTTCAGGGCAGCCGACTCCATGTCTGTCACTCCCACGAACACAAAAGGCTCTGACCGTGAAATAACCCAAGCCACGTGCTGGGAAGGTAAGCATCCTGGAGCCAAGCCCAGTGCCTCCGGGAAAGGCGCTGGAGCCAGACAGAGGAAACTCTAGGTACGGGGAGCAGGGCAGTGAGGCCAAGAGGAAGGAGAGGCAGGTTCGGGGCCGGTGGGGGAAGCAGGGTTCAGAGGGGCAAGGCTGGGGGGATGAGAGCAGCATCATGCAGGGTGCAACTGAAGGTACCAAGGTATGCAGTGAGTTGGGGGGGCCCTTTGCTGGGGATGGGGGGGGGGGATCAAACCATTGATAAGGGACAGCCAGCCCTAGAATAGGGGGGTTTTGAGGGGGCAGGGGGGTTGGGTTTTTGTTGATTTTTTTTTTTTTTTAACTGATAGTACATATTTTTTACTGACAACCAAGCTTTTTAAACATAGTTTGGGGAAGGGGTTTCATTCATGTGGGTCTGGGAACTGTACCAGGATCATAAAGCCATAGAGAAATGAGCCTGGAAGGGACCTCCAGAGGTCACATCTAGTCCAATACCCTGCCTGAGGCAGGATCAGCCCTGTCCAAACCACCCCAGACAAAGCCAGCATCTACAATCTTTGTAAAACTACCATCAGCCCTGACACAACACCAGACATCACACCCGAACCTACCCCAGGGAAAGCAGGGGGACCGCAGCAACCAAACTTCTGCTTCTGTAGAAGGTTGTTAACAGATGGTCCAGAGACTCCAGGTAAAGGCTGTGCCCCCACTACAGAGGAAGGCAACGTGCCCCACCCCCAGTCTGTACCAATCTGACCAGGGTGGAAATTCCTTCTTGACCCCAAGTCCAGCATCAGTCTGAGCCTGAGCGGAGGGGCAAGACCCTCTAGCCAGGACCCTACGAGGTTGGTCCCAGCAGGAGCATTGGCACAGCCCAGTTCCTATCCCCAGCCTGGGCTGCAGCCAGCACCTCTGGGGGAGGCTTAAAACCCCCATGACACATGGGGGGGAGGGGGGGCGGGCGGGGAGTGCAACAAGGAAAATCCAGAAGCCTGGGAAATCCCCATAGTTAGCCAAACCATAAGGAAATCCGGGACATCTAGGACCAAACTCAACCTCCTCTGCTGCAACTTCAAGCCATTGGTCCACATCCTCTGTGCAGCCAAGAGAAAAGGTGCTTTCCCTTTTCCTTATGGCAGCCCTTCAAGTATATGCAGACTGCTATGATGTCTGCTCTTCAGCACTGTAACCTCAAGCTGAACATGCCCAGCTCCCCCAGGACGACTTGCTTTCTGATACCCTGAACATCTTTATCACCCACGTATGGACCTACTCTAACTTCTCCCTGGCCTATGCTGGACCATACAGCTCCATGTCCGACACCCCTGGTTGAGGTATCCAGGGCCTGGCAGGAGGGTTACATGGATGTGATGTCAAATATAAGTTGGTAAAAATGTGTGTCAGGAATTCAGCCATCAGTAAAAAAATTCAAATGTCAGTTAAAAAAAAAAGAAGCCTCAGTTAAAAAAACCACAACCCTGCCCCCCCTCCCCCACTCCCAGAAAACAAACAACAAACCACTCAGCTCATTGTCCTGGGTTGGCAGATCTACAGCACCATAACCACCCTGGCCTGAGCTGCTGCTGATACCCTGAGGGAGAAGGAAAGGCTCCTATAGCAATGAGATGGGGAAAAATCTCCTTCCTGGCCCCAATGCCCAGAAGCCAGTGGGAAGCCAGACGTCCTCTGCTGTGCCTGGCAGATCATAGTATCATAGTGCTTAGGGTCAGAAGGGACCTAAACAGATCATCAGGTCTGACCCCCTGCCCTGGGCAGGAACGGGTGCCAGGGTCATAACACCCCAGCTAAATATCTGTCCATCCTCCCCTTGAAGACCCCCAAGGTAGGAGAGAGCACCACCTCCCTTGGGAGCCCATTCCAGAGCCTGGCAGCCCTAACTGTAAAGTAATGTCTCCTGATGTCCAGCCTAACCCTTCTCTAACAATTTGTGGCCATTATTCCTAGTAACCCTGGGATAGTGGGCAGAACCCACCCCTGCCCCAGCCTAGGCCCCTAGGGGCATGCGTGATGCCAGGTACAGAGAGGCCAGACACGGAAGTGTCTAATCAAACATTTATTAGCACAGTGATTGGCGGCAAAAGTGGGGCCCGTACAGGCCCCACAGCTATGTACATAAAGGGCCCCAGCCAGGGGAAGGGACCCAGGGGCTGGCTCTAGGCAGGGAGGCCCAGACATAGCCAGCAAGGCACGTGTGTGTGTGTGGGATGGTGAGAGGGAAGGGGGTGTGTGTGTATGTGCATGTGTGCGTGCATGCATGCGTGTTTGCTCACGTGCATTCACATGTGGCAGTGGGGCTGGCTGTGTATGAGTGCATGCACGCACACATACACGTGTGTTCTCTACACATGGTACAGGGAGGCAAGTGCCGTGCCTGGGCTGATCCGTGTGGGCAGTGCCTGCCCTTTGTGCGTCTAAGGTGCGTGTGTGTGTGTGTGCACATGTGTCTGTTGCGTGTCCTTGGCATGTGTTGGTACATGCAGATCTCCAGGGTGCATGCCCACCTCTGTCCCTTCCCCCCACCCCACTTCCTGGCCCTATGAACTGAAGCCAGATCCTTCCCTGAGCCCTGTCCCTCCCAGCATGCCATGCACCAGCAAGAGCAGTGCATGCTGGGATAACTTCCCCCACAGGGTGCCTCCTCCCAGCACTGAAGCAGTTAATGGGTGGCAGATCCACCTTGATTGGCTGATGTCCATGGGGGGGGGAGGGGGGGGTCTTTGCAGCCATTGCCACTGCCTTCACCATTCCCTGGCCAGCTCCTCTTCCCTGGCACAGAAGTCTGACAAGCCACAGAGGAAACCCATTGGTCATCATGTCCTTAAAGGGCTGGTGCCACATTGCAATAGGCCGATCCAGCCAAAGGATGCCCCCATTGGCCAGCGGAGGCTTAAAGAGCCGACGCTGCATCCCCTTCAGTGGCTGGGGCCTGTTCCTGGCCTGCAGCCATGAGGGGGGGCAGGGCCGGAAGTCAGAGGTCACCAGGTCAGCAAGGTCCACGGAGGGGGGGGCAGGCAGGGGTCAGTGCTGGGACACGATACCGCTGACCTGGGAGTGAGTCTGTAGGGACAGGGTAGAGACGTGGGGTCAGGCCAAGGGGCATGGGACTCGGGGCAGAGGAAGGGGCCAGCCCTGCTCCTCCGCCCCAGCAGGGTAGAGGGGGCAGGGCATGTCCTGGCCTCAACCCTACACACACCTTCATGGCCTTGTGGATCCAGGCGTGGAAGGCACCAACACGCGTGTAGACGCCTGGTTTGCGGGGCAGGGCACAGCCAGTGCCCCAGCTCACCACGCCGGCCAGGCGCCAGCGGCGGGCACGCGCCACCCCATCCTCACACACAAAGGGGCCCCCGCTGTCTCCCTGGGGGGGGTCAAGGTCAAGGTTACAGGCAGTCCTTCTCCACCCCGATTCACACCCCAGCCCGGTCCCAAGTCAGCCCCTGCCCCTAGCACGATCCCATCCCCGCCTCCATGCCAACCTGCCCAGCCCTAACCCCTGACCCTTGACCTCCTCAATACCTGGCAGGCATCAACGCCGCCCTCAGCAAAGCCAGCGCAGAACATGCGTGGCCGGATCTGGTTGCCGTAGTACTCGGGCGTGTTGCACACGGTGGAGCTGATGATGGGCATGGCCGCCTCCTGCAGCACGTCGGCTTGCTGCCCTGGGGAACGGGGAAGGGCTCTGGGACCTACCCACCCTCTCCACCCCCACCAGGGGATATAGGGCAGCGGGCTAGGAAGTCCCGCCTCCTATCACTCTGGGGCTGCACAGGAAGTCCCGCCTCCCCCGAAGGGCTGGCACTTCAGGAAGTCCCGCCTCCCAGGACATCCCACCCTCTCTATATCTGATGCTCCCAGGAAGTCCCACCCCCACCCAGGGAAGAACCCTCTCCAAGGCGCCAGGAAGTCCTGCCCCCACCAGACCGAGGCCCCCAGGGTCCCTCTCATGTGTGACCACCTACTTCCACCCTCCTCCGTGGTCACAGCCCCCACGGCCGTGAGGCTGGTGGTATCGCACACACGTGTGCACTCACCATAGTACTGCGTGTTGCCCCAGCCCGTCACGGTGCAGATCTTGCCATCCACAAGGTGCTGGCCACGCACCGGCAGGCACACGGGCTGCACGTACTCTGGGGTGTGGGGAGAGGGTAGCCAATGGGCAGGAGGCCTCACACACGCGTGCACCAGCACATGCATGACAGACGCACCAGCAGGGGTGAGGGGGCTGCAGGTCGGGAGTGATAGGCCTGGCACTGACCAGTGAAGGTGACGGGCACGGCCAGGCGCACCAGGGCAATGTCATCGGCATTCTCCTCACTGTTGGGGTCCAGGAAGGGCTGGTAGCCCCCGTGGTAGACGACACCTAAGACCCCGACCTGCTGCCCCTGGCCCGCGGCCTGCGACACAGCACCCAGCAGCACCCGCCACCGGCTCAGCACCCGGTGCCTCCTGCCCGGCCACGGATGGATGTGGGGGATGGGGGGAAGAGGGGGAGGATCAGCGAGGAGCAGGCAGCTGCCCCCCACAGCCCCCCAGACCTGGATGCCTGGGTTCTCCCCAGCTTTGGGGGTCGGGGTTGGTGGTCACTCACTCGGGGAAGCAGTGGGCAGCGGTGAGGACCCAGTCGCTGGCCAGCAGGGACCCGCCACAAAGGTGGGCACCGTCGTGCCGCAGGCTGACCTGCCAGGGCCAGCGCCCACGCCCCGCGTCCTGCCCGCCCACGATGCGCTCCACAGGCAGCTTCCGGCGCCCACACTCTGTGCAGAGACACCCCCCACCCTCAGCCTCAGCACGGGCCCCAGACCCCCAGCTTCCCCCA